CCCGTGCCCCCACGTGCCTCTCGCGTCCTCCAACGTTGTAACGATGACAAGGGACCACGTGCCGAGTTTGATGTCGCCATGTTGATGATCGCGGTCGTTGCCAGGGACACGACGGTCACGTGAGCCCGTGACGGTCACAGAACTCCAGCACGGCGAGAAGACCAGACTGTTTGTGTGATTCTGCGTCGTCCCTGCTCTCTTGAACGTGAACAGCGGCGACCTTTCAACAACCTGAGAATCCCATCGACCGATTATGCCACGAGAGCTTCCCCAAGGTGAGCGTCGGACTTTTAAAGGGAATTATCAACATTTTTACCCCAAAAATGTCAATCTCCCCCTCCACACGCACACACGCACAACACACACGAAACAGGCAACACAGTAGAATAAGCTGAATGCTTAATTATATTCTAGATTTGAAGTTTTCGTGACTGCAGGGATCCATACTCTTTGGTTCTTTCGGTAAAGTCACGGACTTCAGCAATTGTTTCTTGCTGTGGTTGTCCCACCTGATGACGGACACTTGTGTTGCGCCCGAAACGTCGTGATTTAATTCATAAAAATATATACCTACGTGATTTTAATTATATTGTACTATATCTAGAATTAATATTGTACTAGCTTTACTACCCGGCTTCGCCCGGCTTGGATTATTGTCTTGGATTAATACGCGGAGGGTGGGGGGGGGGGTGCGTGACGTCAGTATGCACACTGCGTGACGTCACTAGGAATACTGCGTGACGTCACCGCTCCTTGGCCATGCAAAATGTATCATTATGTGCCCCCCCCCCCCCCTAAATACCAAAAGTCTATTTTATATTTTCCATTGCGTACTGTCTGGAAGTTAGCCACATGCCAAATATCAAGTTTGTTACATGTTGGGAAGTATGTTAAACATTTAGAACAGACACATTCAATAATGTACCGTTTTTGTATATAGGAGTACGATCGTTAAAGTATTTATTCGTCCATATTTGGTCAGAAGACGACGTGAAAATAAATCGACAGCACGTCAACAGCACTGCTGCGAAGGGAAAACAGACACAATAGATGGCGCTGTTGAAGTGGGGCCATGACCCACGTGCGCCTGCACCTGTGGAGGCCGCAGTGTCGCTATCGACACGGATCGTGCTGAGTGGTTGTGTTCTGGTGCAACCTGTTCACCACTGCCCACGCAGCAGCAGCAGCAGCACCACGTGTATGGTTTAATTGCGTGTTGGTCCCTTTAATAACCAATCTCGCGATAAATAGTCACTCGAAAGGCTCGAAACGCCGAGCGGCCAGCAACCAGCAGCAACTTGTAAAGATCGCTCTGCGTGTGGGGTTTGGGGTTGGGCCAAGTGGTCGTTGTAGGCCGTGATTCGTGTCGGGGTGAAGCGGTCGCGTTGACAACCGTCACTCACGGGGAAGGGGCAATGGGGGGGGGGGGCAAAGGACCCCCGTGAGTGACCAACCGTCACACGGGGGGGGGGGGGGCAATGGGGGGGGGCAAAGGACCCCCGTGAGTGACCAACCGTCACTCACGGGGGGGGGGGGGGGGGCAAAGGACCCTGAGTGACCAACCGTCACTCACGAGGGGGGGGGGCAAAGGACCCCTGAGTGACCAACCGTCACACGGGGGGGGGGGGGCAATGGACCACCCGTAAGTTACCAACCGTCACTCACCAATTCAAAATCATGAACTTTATTAATCGTGGATATCCGATGAGCTATAAAGCTCTTTTAAACGATTTCAAGAAATTACACCAATAACAACAAGTGAAAAGTATGAGAAAAGTAAGTTAATCCCGAAACGAAATGAGCTCCACTCTTTTTGTATTAAACCAGGTGAAGCCCTGAGCTATTTAGTTCTTCAGAAGCGATCGACAGGCCCATGTCTGTCTCCAGTGGGAAATGTAGAGCCGTGTGTTGTCCGCAGTGTAACATGTGATCGCTGTGCTTCTGCTTCTTCTTGCAGTTGGCGACCCCCGCGAGGGATCCCGCGGGGCTGTGCCCGGGACCCCCTCCCCGGATGAAGCCCGAGGCGCGGCGCGGGTCGCCGTGCCGGAGCTGACGGGAGCCGCGCAGGCGGCGGCGGGGCCGCGTCTGGGGGCGGAGCCTCAGGTGAGGGGGCGGGGCCCCGGGTGGCGGGCGGGGCGGGGCCCGCTGGCGCCACTCAGCCAATCACAACGCTGGGAGTGCACGGGGGGGGGGGTTTACAATATGATAGGCGACGTTTCGGCAATTCCTTCTGCAGAGCACATCAGTTGTTGACCCTTTCATAACGTGGCCTGTAGAGGGTGGCCCAAAAGTCAGGACACGCAAAGTTATTGTATTTATCTTAACAAATCACAAAGGGTCATTGAGTTTATTTTTAACAAATGTTAAAACTGATATCCATTACCATTTTGAAATGCATTTAGCACCTTTTTTAAATTACAGCTACCTTTTTGCATGCATAACAACGAACTGAACTCGTTCGTCTTTAGTCAATGGCAACTTCTTTGAATATTTTGTCAGTTTGGGGTTCCTCTAAAAATCAATCGTCTATATATATTTCAGAGACATTTAATGCAGATCACTTATCGGTTCATGGACTTAATTTGATTCATTTTGAGATAATTCAGTCTCACGTGTGTTGGGATGCCAGTCCGGATGGGAGGATTAATTGTGGATGTGTTGACTGCGTTGCTGTGGCAGGGCCCAACCATGACTGTGGCAGCTGGAGCAGAGGGCACCTCGTCCGGTAACGACCTCACGGTCTTGGCCCCCACCTCGTCCAACGAGGTGCTGGTGGCGGCCGACGAGTGGCTCACGCAACCCAGCTGCCTTCCCATGGCCGGCCTGAACCTCCCTGGTGCCAGCTACAGCACGCGATAACATCAGCGTGTCTGTGCTGCCTGCACCCCAAGGTGAGCGTGCGACCACGCGACCTCGTGACTTCTCGTTAGGTGGCAGCCACCAACAGAAGGGCCACTTTGGAGCCACTGCTGTTGCCCATCATGAGTAACACGGGGAGCTTAAACACCTATCAGACAACGTGACAGGCACATCACATTATTCTCGAATTTGAGCTTCATACTTCAATGTGGAGCAAAATCTTTCTGGTTAATGGTGGCACCACGGGTGCTGGCTGGGGCCATGTTTTATCTATAATGGAAATGTAGACCCAGAAGTACGAAATGTGATCGCTGTGCTTCTTCTCTTCTTGCAGATGGCGACCCCCGCGAGGGATCCCGCGGGGCTGTGCCCGGGACCCCCTCCCCGGATGAAGCCCGAGGCACGGCGCGGGTCGCCGTGCCGGAGCTGACGGGAGCCGCGCAGGCGGCGGCGGGGCCGCTAAACCAACCACAACGCTGGGAGTACACTGGGGTGGGTATTGGATAATGATAGGTGACGTTTCAGGCAATGGTCCGTCTGCAGAGCACATCACAGTTGTTTGCCCTTTCATACCGTCGCCGATAGAGGGGCCCACAAGTTAGGACACACAGATCTTATTGATTTATTTAAACAAATCACAGAGGATTGTTTTGTCATGGTATTAATTATAATAACAAAAAAAATGTTAACTTTTAGACTAAATGATTAAAACGTTGCAATTTCAGTGGCACGATGAATGAAACTTTTGGGCCAACCTGTATTTTGCACTCCTATCATGTGTTGATATTGTTCGTTGTTGTAACATTCTTACCTGCCCCAACTGGACACCTATACGAAAGAGCTTTAACTCATCGGATTCCTCCAGTCTAAATATCTATTCTGATTCCGATAATAATGTGTAATAAATATATTGTGTGGTTAGATATAAAAAGCGACGTTTCAGGCAATGGCCTTTCTGCAAAACACATCACAATTGGCCCTTCATAACGTCACCTATAGAGGGTAGCCCAAAAGTCATGCCACATAGTGTCATCATTTTTATTTTAACAGTAACAAAGCATTATGTTGTTTGTTTTAACAAATGTTAAAACTGACTTCTGTTACATTGATGCACGATGTACGAATGAGCAATCACAGCTGCCTTTTTTGCATACGAATGACAATCAAACTCGTTCGTCTCTGGTCAATTTCCTGTCCATTTTTCAATGTCATCTGAAAATGAAGAAGAAAAATAGATATTAATAATAATCAAGTTCAAGTTCATTTATTAGGTATAGCCCTGTGAGCCATTCGGCTCTTGAATCGGGTGCAACCACAACAACAAAAAAACATGAACAAGAAACATCTTAAAAGTGACTATGTGACTATTTGCAAACAGAAAATCCAAGAAAAGACGGCAAAACATTGCAGAAAAAAGCACCGTACACCAACGCTGTGGGATGCAAGTCCGGAGCGAAACATTTTATTTAGGCCACTAAATAGCAGTGGCAGCTAGGGGTGTACATCTCCCTAGAGCAGTTTTGAGTGAAGATATCATAGGTAGTGATTCAAGTTTCAGTTTATTGGCAATAGCATTCCAGACCCTGGGGGCATCAATAGAAAAGGCCCTTCCTCCAGTATTTGTACGGCAATAGGAATCTGAAGTTGGTAAGTGAGCGAAGACCTTAGGTCAAATTTGTTCTTTGAAACTGAGAGGAGATCCCGCAGATAATCTGCGGATTTTTTTGTAAGTACATTATGAATAAAAAAGAATCTGGTGCACAAGCCGTCGAACATTAACAGATGTTAAGTTTGACCCAATGTAGAGATCACAGTGGTGAGTCCTATATGGGCAGTTCAGTGCAAATCTTAAGGCCGGGTGATACATTGAGTCAAGTTTCTTCAGTGCAGTACTTGGGCTGATTTATACACGATGTCACAGTAATCAAGTAGAGACAGTATGGTAGCTTTTATCAATTCCAAACGGAACATAGGGGGAAGCAGTGCTTGTGTCGATACAGAAAACCTATTTTTGTCTTTTTACCAATATAATCAATGTGATCTTCAAATTCAGTTTTGAATCAAGGATGACCCCAAGATACTTATAGATCTTGACTTGCTCTATTTGATCATTATTTAAGGAATGTAATTGGGGAAATAACTTCCCGCTTTAGTCCTGGTGAGGAGCATCGCGTAATTGCCCGTCACGTGACGGGTATTTCACGTCGTAAACGATCCACTGTGTTGTGACTTTGTCGATGACGCCACCTCTGCCGTCTTCCTCCCTTTAATCGACGTCTTCTTTCGTCTCCGACGCTTCCGGATCATCTGAATGAACTCAAAATTACGGAATGTGACGTACCGAATGTAATTTTATCTTCTCCGAGAGTAATGTATAACAAACCTGCAAATAAAGAATGAAAATTTGTAAATCACCTTCATCATTCTAATAGCTGTTGGAGTTTCCTTTCTGTCGGGAAGAAAGTAAACGAAAAGTTTCAATCGAAAATTAGTTTGCAAACTTTTATTTTTTTCTCACCTGTGAGAGTGAATGAAACAATGTAAACACGCAGTTCTTGGCTTATGTTTGTTGCAAATGCGCAATTGTTGTGGTAATTATTACATTATTATTATTTATGTATTGACTTACTGGATTCCCTATTTATGTGAATACTAAAAATGAGCTGTTTATAACCCGGAAGGACGCGTCGTTGTGTTCACCAATTTTCGCTCAAAACGTGAGCAGAAAATCGCTTTTACCAAAATGAATTTGCACTCAGTGAGAGGAGCGGCCCTAGAGCAGCTGCTGCCAGCAACTGGCAACGCCCTCGCCAACCACCCAATGGGCGCCCCCAAACCCCAAGGGCAGATCCAGGCTGAGGTTTCTGGTAACTGGGAAACATTTTCCCCCGATTTTAGGTATGATGATAACTTAATGTTTTAAGCGGATTTTTTTTAAACAGAGGAATAATGATTCGGTCTGTCCGTTCGCCCGTCTGTCCAACCAATACATTCTCAGGAATGTTGAGAAGTGAATTATAATTCATATTCCCGCTGTATGCGCACATGAATTGAAATAATGACATCGTCGTTATTTTATTTGTATGTTTACTGGTAGTAACCTCCTGGTTACACCAGCCCACAGGGGATTATTTTGTACGTCCGTCGTGCAGGGAGGAGCTGGGTGGGGAGGGTGGGGCTGGGTGGCGAGGGTGGGGCTAGGTGGGGAGGGTGGGGGGTGGGAGGGGTGGGGCTGGGTGGGGAGGGGCTGCTCACCCCGTGGTGCCCTTAACACGTTCCTTCGGAGTGGGCAGGTAGGAACTTGGTTGGACAGCGCGCCGATCAGGGGGGGTGGCAGTTGGATGAGTGGGCGTGTTTACCCTTCCCCCCACCCTCCCCGACATCGCCAACCAATCGCGGCGTATCTCGGTGTTCGGTGGGGAGTAGGCGTCAGCAAGGTAAGGTAATTTACCCTTTTTACCGGGTAAAAGGGTAAAGGTGTCAACATGCCAAGGGGTAAGGTAAAGGGTCGGGTAAAGGTAGCTCGGAAGAATTACCCGGTAGGGTAAAGGTAGCGCGAAGTATTACCCGGTAAATACGGTACCTTGTTTACCGCTAAAAGCTCCGTGGCGCAGTCCATGGCCTCCATTTAAGATGTAATATTAAAAAATATATTTTTTTAAACACGCTTTCATTAAATGTACGAGTAATAACAGAACTCCACGACTCCAGGAAGTGGCCCCGATAGAATATAGTACTGTTATCAGTATGCCATAAGTATACCAAGTGTGCAGTCGATACCACATTAGGAAGTGGGTTAAAATTGAGTTACAAGATTTGAGGATACGACAGCGATGACAACGACGACAACGACAACAATGACAACAAGCGTGTAAAATTGGAATCATCGAGAGTACTCTATATGAATAAAGCGCGCTATCTAGCATTTACCGTTATAAACATTTTTCATGTGTAGTACCCTAGTAATTACCCTGTAATCGGGTAATTTGTATGGGGTAAGGGTAAAAGGTAGGCTCTTGCTTTTACCTTACCTGCTAAAGGGTAAAAGGTAAGGGTAGAGTAATTGTATTGTGGTAAGGTAGAAGGTAGGGTAAAGGTAGGCTCGTTGTTTTTACTTTTTAACTTTTACCTTACCTTGCTGAGGCCTAGGGGAGATGCATGGGTGGGCAGAATTCCGGATATGCACGACAGACAGACAAATAATCCCTGGTGGGCAGTGTGGAACCTGTTGTTCCTACCTGTATAACACTCTAGGTAACTAAGACTCACACACACATACACTCACTCTCACACTCTCAAACTCACACACACTCTCACACTCTCAGACTCACACACACTCACTCTCACAGTCTCAAATTCACACACACATACACTCACGCTCAAACGCACACAGACACTGACATCTCACACTCTCAGACTCACACACTCACACTCTCAGACTCACACACACACTCACCCTTACACTCTCAGACTCACTCTCACATTCTCAGACTCACACACACATACACTCACTCTCACACTTAGACTAACAGACACACACTCTCACACTCTCAGACTCAAACAAACACTTACTTTCACACTCTCAGACTCACACACACACACTTTCACACTCAGCGTGGCGTTCGGGGGGGGGCAGTTGGATGAGTGGGCATGTTTACCCTTCCCCCCCACCCTCCCCGACATCGTCAACCAATCGCGCGTTGCTCGGTGTTCTGTAAGGAGGGGATTGCATGAGTGGGCGTGTTTTCACCCCACCTATACCAGTGGCCGCCCCGCTCGGCGTTTTGGGGGGGGGAGGGAAGTTGGATGATTGGGCGTGTTTACCTTCCCCCCACCCTCCCCGACATCCTCAACCAATCGTGGCCTTGCTCGGCGGTCGGTGGGGGGGGGGGCATGGGTGGGCTGCATTCTGATGCACGACAGACAAATAATCCCTGGTGGGCAGTGTGGAACCTGTTGTTCCAACCTGTATCAACGTTTAACCTACTCACACCGGCTTGTGCCTGCCCTCACAGTCGGGCATATTTGCGGAATACACCACGCCGCCGTTGACCCTGGCCATTGACCGTTACTACCAGCTCCCTCCGCAGGAATGTGTTTTGCTCGAATTTTTGGCGCCCCACTTAACTTGGGGCCCCAGGCGGCCGCCTGGTTCAACTTCATGAAGGGGTGGACGCCCCTGTTCAGTTACAATAACTTACTGGATTCTGAATTGATGTGAATTTTAAAAAAGTGAATATTGATTATTGATCGCAAGGGGAAAGGTCGGTGTTCACTCATTTTAACAAATGTTCACCGTAAGTGCGAGCAAAAGTCATCAAAGTGAAACTGCACTGAGTTCAAATTCAAAGCAGATTCTGCTCCTTTATTTCAATTTCTATTCGAAGTAAAAAAAAAACTATTATCACGCACAAATTAACTGAATAGTTTATTTATTATTCAGTAATAGAGGGTGTCAAAACGCAAAGATAAAATACAAACACAGGGGATATTTTGGGAGAACATTGACTTTTCTTCTCACAACAAACGAATGATTAGTCACAATTTTAATCTAAGCCTTCGAAGAAAAAAAAAAATCTTGAGAATTGCATGGAACTCCACCGAGCCGAGTCAGTGTTACACGCAGCATGCAGAGTGTCAGGCGTTAGGCACATGTCACCGAAACTTTGAGAATAAAGTTAACTTTTAAAATAAATAATGAAAACGTTGTAATGTAAGTGCCAAGATAAATTAAATAACCCCGTGTCTTAACTTTTGGGCCAACCTGTATAATAATGTGTAATTAATGTATACTGTATGGTAAATTCACGTAGAAGGGAAGTAATAAAATAATAAAACATAATAAAATAATTCTCACGACGTTTCAGCCACAACGCAAGCAGCCGTCCTCAGGTGAAGAACAGGTCTGTCGAGAAGACAGAGTCTGAATGACAACCCCAGGCTTGGAGCGTCTTTTTAAGCTGGGTTGGAGGGGGGGAAGAGCGCCTTGACAAAATAATTTGCATATCAAGAGGAATTTAGCATATTTATGGGAAATGCGTAGGAGGTAGGCTGGGGTGTTTCAAAGTCATATTATGCCCATGCATTATGTAGGATTAGCAGCATCAAAGGGAGGGGGTAGGGGGTAGCATTAACAAAGGGAGGGAATGTCAAGGCGCTCTTCTTCCACCTCCAACCCAGCTTATATATATACTAAATTCCTCTTGATATGCAAACTATTTTGTCAAGGCGCTCTTCCCCCCCTCCAACCCAGCTTAAAAAGACGCTCCAAGCCTGGGGTTGTCATTCAGACTCTGTCTTCTCGACAGACCTGTTCTTCACCTGAGGACGGCTGCTTGCGTTGTGGCCGAAACGTCGTGAGAATTATTTTATGTTTTATTTTTATTATTTTATTACTTCCCTTCTACGTGACTTTACCATACAGTATACATTAATTACACATTATTATTATCTGTAATTATTGTAAAGAACCAAAAACATGAATCCCTGCAGTCACGAAAGCTTTAAATCGAAATGTATACTGTATGATTAAATATATAACAGGTGACGTATCAGGCACTGGCCCTGCTTCAGAGCACGTCACAGTCCTTCATGACGTCGTTAATAAGAGGCTGGCCCAAAAATCAGGATACATCGGGTTATAATTGTGTTAACAAATAACAGATTGTTATTTAGTTCAAGATGAATGCACGAATATCTTTTAAAATTAAGTTAATATCTTAAAAAGTTTACAGCTGCCTTCTTTTGCATACGTAACGACGAACTGAACTCGTTCGTCTTTAGCCAATGGCCCCTTCTTCATAGACTATTTGGCGAGTTAAAGTGAGTTTGGGGTTCCTTTAAAAATAGATTATGTTTATATATTTGAGACATTTGATGCAGGTTGCCCATTGGGTCGTGGACTAAAATTGTATTTCTTTTGGTGATAAAATAGTCCCACGTGTGTTGGGATCCAAGTCAAGATGGGAGGAGTAATTGTGGATGTTTTGACTACGTTGTGTGGCAGGACCCAACCATGACTGTGGCGTGCGGAGCAGAGGGCACCTCGTCCGGCAACGACCTCACGGTCTTGGCCCCCACCTCGTCCAACGAGGTGCTGGCGGCGGCCGACGAGAGGCTCTGCTCCCAACCCAGCTGCCTTCCCCATGGCCTGCCGGAACCCTCCCCGGTGCCAGCCACAGCACGAGAAAACATCAGCGTGTCTGTGCTGCCTGCACCCCAAGGTGAGCGTGCGACCACGCGACCTCGTGACCTCTCGTTAGGGTGGCAGCCACCAACAGAAGGGCCGCTTTGGAGCCACTGCTGTTGCCGTTCACGAGTAACACGAGGAGCTCAAAACACCTATCAGTCAACGTGACAGGCGCATCACATTTTTCGCTACCTTGAGATTTAAACTTAAATGTGGAGCAACATCTTTCTGGTTAAGAGTAGCAGCACGGGTGCTGCAGGTTGGGGCTACTGAACAGTGCCATGTTAAACTTTCGTGGGAAATGTAGAGCCGTGTGTTTGTCCGAAGTACGAAATGTGATCGCTGTGCTTCTCCTTCTTGCAGATGATGACCCCCGCGAGGGATCCCGCGGGGCTGTGCCCGGGACCCCCTCCCCGGATGAAGCCCGAGGCGCGGCGCGGGTCGCCGTGCCGGAGCTGACGGGAGCCGCGCAGGCGGCGGCGGGGCCGCGTCTGGGGGCGGAGCCTCAGGTGAGGGGGCGGGGCCCCGGGTGGCGGGCGGGGCGGGGCCCGCTGGCGCCACTCAGCCAATCACAACGCTGGGAGTGCACGGGGGGGGGGGGGGTCTTACAAAATAATGATAGGCGACATTTCAGGCAATTGCCCTTCTGCAGAGCACATTAATAGTTGTCCCTTTCATAACGTCGCCTATAGAGGCTGGCCAACAAGTCAGGACACATGGAGTTATTATGTTTATTTGAACAAATAACAGGATTATTTTGTTATAGATAGTAATAATGATAATAGATACACTTTTAACTTCAAGAATACATAATTAAACGTTGTAATGTTAGTGGCACGATAAAGGAAATATCCCTCTGTCCTAACATTGGGCCACCATGTATAATGTGAAAAATAGATTCTGTATGTATATATTTCTGGGACATTTTATGCGGATTGCCCATCGGTTCATGGACTAAAATTGGATTTATTTTGGTGATAAAACAGTTCCACGTGTGTTGGGATCCAAGTCAAGATGGAAGGAGTAATTGTGGATGTTTTGACTACGTTGCTGTGGCAGGACCCAACCACGACTGTGGCGTGCGGAGCAGAGGGCACCTCGTCCGGCAACGACCTCACGGTCTTGGCCCCCACCTCGTCCAACGAGGTGCTGGTGGCGGCCGACGAGAGGCTCTGCGCCCAACCCAGCTACCTTCCCCATGGCCGGCCGGACCCCTTCCCAGTGCCAGCCACAGAGAACATCAGCGTGCCTGTGCTGCCTGCACCCCAAGGTGAGCGTGCGATTACACAACCTCGTGACCTCTCGGTAGGGTGGTAGCCACCAAAGCAAGGCCGCTGTGCCACCACAACTTTTGCCATTCAAGAGTAACACGAGGAGCTCAAAACACCTATCAGTCAACGTGACAGGCGCATCACATTTTTTCGCGAACTTTAGCCTGACACTTAAATGTGGAGAAAAATATTTCTGGTTAAGAGTAGCAGTACGGGTGCTGGCTGGGGCCACTGGATATCCACGCCAGCCCCATCGGCAGTGCAGCGCTCTGCGATGACGCCGGCTTTCGCCACCACCGTACCCTTTGTGCAGAGGAGGACGACGGCATTCCGGCGGCACGGCTCTCGTTGTTTGCGCCGGAGCGGCTGAACCTCCGGTGGGAGAGCGACGTGGGCAAGGGTGCCGGCCTGCGCAACCTGGGGAACACCTGCTTCCTCAACGCCACGCTGCAGTGCCTCGCCTACACGCCGCCGCTCGCCAACTACCTGCTGCTGCAAGAGCACTGCAGCACCTGTAAGTACCCTCCCTCCTGGCACTCTCGTTTACCCATCGGCTATTTTATTATCACGGTTATTTTGGCTGATGTGAATTTCACACTTGATAAGCTACTTCGTTGAACTATCATTCGTGGTCAGATCGCTTTTGAAGAAGCTAATAGCTCAGTCGGCTTTACCTGGTAGAATAAAAACATAGTTTAATTTGTGTATGTTTTTAAGTGGTTTGTTTGCCTTGCCTATATTTTGCACTCCTATCGTGTTTTTGTATTGTTTGTTGTTGTAACCTTTTCACCCGTAACATTATTGGACATCTGCAAAAAAGAGCTCCGTAGCTCATCGGATTCCTCCAGTATAAATCAGTAAATCAGTATTGTGTTTTTCATAAACACGTGCACACGTGGCGAACATGTGTTTAATAGGCTGCACAGATTAAACTTGGGCTTATAAAGCATCTTGTGATGCAATTGGTACTTAGACACAACATTAATTGCGATTGTTGCTGGTGCCAGGTTTCCTCGCGTTTGTTGTTACTCCCCAACTGGGCTGAGTGCGAGTGGCGTGCGCTGACGGATTGTGCCACCTGTGCCCTCGTTCGCAGGCCAACGGAGCGACTTTTGCCTGATGTGCGTCATGGAGCGTCACGTCGTCAGCACGTTCAACAACTCGCAGACAGTTCTGACACCCAAGGTCATCACTAACAACATCACGCGTGAGTCCCAATACTAAGTTATCGCCGCGATCCTTCGCCGTCTGTGTTCCAAATCCTTTGCACCGCTCCTTTTGAAACGACTGTTTGGGGAGCTCTTGAAGGATGTCATCAGATCCTGTATCTGTCACTTTGTCCCCATGTCCATTTCTCTGCAGGCATCGCCAAACACCTGCGCATTGGGAGACAGGAAGATGCCCACGAGTTTCTGCGATACGTGGTCGATGCCATGCAAGCCTCATGCCTCTATGGCCACAGCGAGTGAGTACTGCGCGCCAGTCAACATGCGGCAGTCGTTCTGCAGTTCGGTACCTCACGGCTTCCTCTCGGTTTTCTGCACGATTGTACTTCAACGTCTGTGAAAAGCTACTCACACTTTTGTGTGAACACCTGGGAGATGCAGAGGACCGGCCCTTCTGACACCACGGTTCTTTGACCTTGGCCCTGACGTGGGCCATCTTTTGTTGGCGCATTTCACGTTGCCTATAAATACCGGGGGATAAATGTCTCGAGGTCGGTGGCCCCTTCACATCATTCCTCGTGTTGACGGGTAACACATGGCATGCAGGGCACAACAAAACTGCCGGGCAACAGCACCGCGTGATGGCTGCCAGCTTGTCCCCAGCTCTGTGGCTGTGCCGTGAAGGTGGCTGCCCTGTGCAGACGCGACCACGTTTCGTTGCCACAGAGCACGTGTTGCAGTGCTGAAGGGAAAGAGTGAATCAACAGCTCGGGCAATGGTGTAACTTTCACACATGCGTGTGCATCCGGTAAAGGTGTTACTACTACTGCTGCTGTAACCACCATGTGGTGTCGTTCTCTGTGACTGGCAGGCTGGACAGATACACGGAGGCTACCACCCTCATTTACCAGATCTTCGGGGGTTACCTTCGTTCACGTGGTAAGTTTTGCGCACTCCTCTAGAAACTTGTTAACCGCGAACAGTAAGTGCACCATCACAGTGTAGACCTGCTCGCGTTGCAGCATTTACACTCACACACGTGCCACACGGAATAACCTTTTACCAGTTGGTGAAAAGTAGCGATTACCTATGTCAGTGGGGAGCGTGCATTTAGTTTGACTAAGACACATGTGACGTCCCTCCCTAATGTGTGTTTGCTTTGCAGTGGAGTGCATGCAGTGCTGCAATGACTCCAACACCTACGACACATGCCTGGACATCGCACTCTATATTAATGTAAGCAATGAGAAAACCATTTCTTAACAGTTATACATGTACATACGGTGCGAAGGAGGTTCAACATGCACACATCAACAACAACCGCCATTCGCCACTAAATGGCGATGATGTCACCATGGCACTTGTGCTAGGCTGAGTGCACTTTAAGGCCATGTGAAGTGTCGAACGCCTGCTGGCAGGTCACGGGACAGACCCAGGTGCCATGGATTGACTGAATGAGATGACTGGCTGATGTACTACCTGTGCCCCCTTCTGTGCCAACATACATCACGCAGACACATCGATCAGCCACTTAACATCCAAACACACTGCCAGTACCGTGCATCATCTCGTTTATTGCGGTCGTACGATTTAATACAAGATGCGGATTTTCGGAGTTGCCGTCACAATACAATGTTTATGGAATGCTTCTTAAGGGTCTTCATTTGCCTTTCACTCTGTTGGGCAACAGAACTCATCGCATCTGGTGGAGGCGTTTGGGGAGTTTTTCAACGAGGAGATTCTGGATGAATACACCTGTGCAAGGTGAGCGGGCCGTCGTGTTTCGACACCCTGCAAACATTTGTCGTTTCAAAAGTCTGCAGATTAAATATATATCTCACGATAATATAAACAGAAGAATATTAATTATGATAAATATTTTAGAACATAATATTAGTTTTACTAAAAAGTATTTTATAAATAATAATAAAAATTACTAAAATAATAGTAAAGAAAAAATTACAAGAAATGTCGTTTAAAAGTTGCCCTCATCGGTTGGGGAACGCGTGCAATGTCTGGCGTTGTTGTTGTCGTGCAGGTGCTGTCACAAGGGGAAAGCGACGAAGACGATGGCTCTCCACCGCCTGCCCAACGTCCTCACCGTCTCCATCAAGCGGTACAACCTCTACGGCGTCAAGATCAACCGGGTAACGATTCTGCCCCTCCACATCGTTCGAATTAAATTATTTATTGACAGCCCTTTGTCAGTTTAACGCTGGAGAAAATGCCTCTCCATGTTGGAATAGGTCCGACAGATAGACTCGCCCCCCGTCATGTAACTGTAGAATTTCCACCACTTGCTCAGGGCTATGAACAGGAGATGAGCACCGTCTTCAACGCTCAAATGAGCGAGACATCACGTCATCACTTTGACGTGTAACTGAGATGGTGCCCATCTCTGCTGCTCACCCCACCACCCCTGCCGTTTCCTCTCCTAACATTTGTCTCTGTGCACTGCCTCCCCCTCCTGTGCGCTGTCTGTAGAACATCACCTACCCGGAGCACCTGGACATGCAACCCTTCACCTCAACATCTCAGGGCGAGCCCGCGATCTACTCCCTGTACTCGGTGCTGGTGCACAAGGGAGCCGACTCAAACAGCGGCCATTATTATTGCTACAATAAGGTAATTCCATTCGTTACCATCAAACAATAACAACGCACATCTGCAATGCGCCCATAATGTTACAAATTTCTAATAGGGAGGAATAAATAAAACAGTCTTGCAACTAAATTTTTACTTAAAACGTTCGTGACTGCAGGAAATCATATTCTTTGGTTTTGTAAACATTGTAACCAAGTGTAGCTTTGTTTTAACGGTGCACAGATCAGCGATGGAAAATGGTGCCGGATGAACGACTCCATCATGCGGCTCGTCGACACCAAGGCTGCGATGAGTGAGCAGGCCTACATGCTCTTCTATATTCGGCAAGTCGCCCTTCTCTCCCCTCCACTTTGACCTCCACTTACAACCGTCCCCCAGACAAGCTCACTGCACAGATATTGTCTTACGCGAGCAGCAGCAGTCTCCTTTCTAGGCAGTTGAGTTGTTCCGACTAATTTGGAGCTTAGCGGCTCGATGAGTGTCCGGCCAGACAGCTCAGCGGTGGAGCGAGCGGTGATGTTAACCGCAGTTTGCGATGTGTGGTGCGGGCATTCAGGTCCCCAGAATTGAATGCGCCACCAGCGGACAGCTACCGCCCGCTGGAGCACGTCAAGGCGACGTCTAAGTTGTGCATCAAACGTTCCCACTCGGTGATGGAGACCCAGGACCTCGTCACTGAACAGCAGCTCTCTTCACCGGCACGCAAGGTAAAGGATGGTTTTGAAATGTTACCCCACGTGCGTGGAACTGGGAGAATGTACACCCTGACAGTGCATCATTTTACATTACAGGAATGGTGAAGTACAGCAATCTTCTTGTTAATACTTTAGACCAGTTTTGTTTCATTCACTCAATGTCGAGCGGTTTGGACTTGAGCGCCCTCATCTTGTTTATCTGCAGAAACTCAAGATGGCGAACCACCCCAACGGGAACAACTGCAAGGGCGACAGCAAAAACAGCGGCAGCAGCAGCTGCTACCGGCAACGCCAGGCACGCAACAGCCGTGGCCGCCGCCGCTAGTCCCAGAGCATCCGCCACCACCACCACCCCGATCTCCAAGCAGCCAGTGCCAGTCCAACAGCAACCACCGCCACCGCCAGTTCCGCAGCAGCCATCGCCAGTCCCACAGCAGCCGCCGCCACCACTCTCATCTGACAGCAGCCGAAGCCAGTCCAACAGAAACCACTGCCATCGCCAGATCCACAGCAGCCACCGCTTGTCTTGGAGAAGCTGCCATCAGCACCACAGCAGCTACTGGTAAAGTCACGGAGATAGAAAATAATAAAAATAAATAATAATAAAAACAGTCCTGCAACTGTTCTTGCGTTTTGATGTATTTATGCAATTTCTACTTACGGTATTTACTTTATTTATTTGTATTTAGTGACTTGCTTAGCTTTCCTACACTTTTCACTCCTATAGGTTTATGTATTGTTTGTTGTAACTTCTGACCCGCCCCTACTAGACATTTGTGAAAAAGAGCATCGTAGCTCATCAGATTCTTCCAGTCTAAATAAAAATTTAGATTTTGATTAAATTGGTCCAAGGTTATCGATGCAGTGATATGTTCAGGCAGACCGTACCGTAACTTCAACACCATCATAGCAACCGTAGCACGCTCTGCAGCTCTGACGTTGGTGTGATGCTCTTGAGGAACTTGTTGGCTAGAGGGTATCGTGTGTTGTTATTACATGAACGGAGAATGTTGGGTGCGGTTTTGTAAACATTGTAACCAAGTGTAGCCGTGTTTTAACTGTGCACAGATCAGCGATGGAAAATGGTGCCGTATGAACGATTCCATCGTGCGGCTCGTTGACACCAAGGCTGTGATGAGTGAGCAGGCCTACATGCTCTTCTATATTCGGCAAGTCGCCCTTCTCTCCCATCCACTTTGACCTCCACTTACACCCGTCCCCCAGACCAGCTCACTGCACAGATATTGTCTTGCGAGAGCATCAGCAGCAGTGTCTCCTTTCTAGGCAGTTGAGTTGTTCCGACTAATTTGGAGCTTAGCGGCTCGATGGGTGTCCGGCCAGACAAGCTCAGCGGTGGAGTGAGCGGTGGTGTTAACCGCAGTTTACGATGTGTGGTGCGGGCATTCAGGTCCCCAGAATTGAATGCGCCACCAACGGACAGCTACCGCCCGCTGGAGCACGTCAAGGCGACGTATAAGTTGTGCATCAAATGTTCCAACTCGGCGATGGAGACCCAGGACCTCGTCACTGAACAGCAGCTCTCTTCACCGGCACGCAAGGTAAAGGATGGTTTTGAAATGTTACCCCACGTGCGTGGAACTGGGAGAATGTACACCCTGGCAGTGCATAATTTTACATTACAGGAATGGTGAAGTACAGCAATGTTCTTGTGTCTACTTTAGACCAGTTTTGTTTCATTCACTCAATGTCGAGCGGTTTGGACTTGAGCGCCCTCATCTTGTTTATCTGCAGAAACTCAAGATGGCGAACCACCCCAACGGGAACAACTGCTGGAGCAACTGCAAGGGCGATGGCAGAAACAGCTGCAGCAGCAGCTGTTACCGGCAACGCCAGGCACGCAACAGCCGCGGCCGCCGCCCCTAGTCCCAGAGCATCCGCCACCACCACCCCGATAGTTCCACAGCAGCCATCGCCAGTCCCGCAGCAGCCAATACCACCACCACCACATGTCTCGAAGAAGTCAGCGCCACAGCAGCCATCGCCAGTCCCGCAGCAGCCAATACCACCACCACCACCACATGTCTCGAAGAAGTCAGCGCCACAGCAGCCATCGCCAGTCCCGCAGCAGCCGCCACCACCCTCATCTCACAGCAGCCGTCGCCAGTCTTGGAGAAGCTGCCATCAGCACCACAGCAGCTACTGCCACCGCCAGTCCAACAGCAGCCACCGCCACTCTGGTCTCACAGCAGCCACCACCGGTGTAACAACTGGCACTCGCCCCACCGATAGTGGTTGGTGCCTGAATTCCACACGATCAAGTGGCTCACCCTTTGCTTCCTCTCAAAATCAAACTAATTTTGAGAGACATTTTAGGAAGGCACCAGGAAGCGGCTCACCATGGCGTCGCCGGTGCCCCAAAATGTACTCATCTCCAGCTCCACCATCAGCACCTGAAATCACTTGAACATCATTGGAATCACCTTGGACTCTACATTCTCACTCGACGACCACATTCTCTAAACAATAAAGAGCTGCAATGATTACCTCAGGGCCTTATGGCACACCTGTCCAATGCTGACATGGAAAACATTTAAAGCAACTCTAACTCACAATCCACAACGACTTGAAAAACTCAGCATGAAAGCGCTTAAAATCACGCATGCATTCTGGGAAACAAGAGCCAAGATCCATGCAGCCGACACCAACCCATTACGGCTTGGAGATTCTGTTCATTACGAGATCAATCGTCAAGAGAGTTGGCCCCAGGAACGTTATTGTCATGGTGACCGTAAAATGAACCGTCCCATAACAAATGAAGACAAAAGTTGTGTTCCGTGCAACGTGAGGCTGGAGTGCGGTCTCAGTGAGGTCGTGCAAGGTATTCCCTACGGTTCTTGTCTCTGTTTATTTGAAATGCGGGGCATTATTTTGCGTTGTGTCGGGGATTTAAAAAGTCACCGCTGTTGCAAAGTATTTATTTATTGAACTATGAATACGTCGGCATTTTTTATACTACATATCTGTTAAATCTTTACTTAAAGCTTTCGTGACTGCAGGAATTCATATTCTTTGGGTCTTTCGGTAAAGCCACGTAGATAGAAAAAATAATCAATATAATAACAATATCTCTAAACCTTTATATACAGCCTGCCTCGGCAGATTTCCCCCTATTTTTTCACCTCAAGACGATTGCTTGTGTTGCGATCGAAACGTTGTGATATTGTTATTATTTTGATAATTGTTTCTATCTACGTGGCTTTACCGAAAGACTCAAAGAAGACATATCTGTTACTTTGTTTTTTACACAACCAGGGGAGGGGTAGAAACCGGTCCGGACCGGTAGGGCCAACTGCAGTTGGAACCCCTCTGACGGGAGGGAGGGGCTGGGGGAAGCTACGATCCCCCAGAACCCCGCCCCTCAGGGAGAAATCAAAATATATAAAATCGCGAATGTGTCAGTCTGTGTGTCGCCGGACCATACGCAGTTTTATTGGACGACGGTTGCCCCTGGCAACGGGTAGCGACGCCTTCGCCGCTTTCATTGGACGGCGGTTGCCCCTGGCAACGGGTAGCGACGCCTTCGCCGCGGGGTGGACGCCATTTTTAATTCCCGTTAAAAATAGGCGCACGCATTAACACGCGACTCTGAGGTAAATTCATCAAAGTTTCACGTCCTCTTCACTCCCCCCCCCCCCCCCCCCACCACAATGTGTGCAATTACTATTATAGGGTCGGTAGATTATAAATTATAGCGATTAGACAGTATTATTGTAGCGCGGGGGGGGGGGGGGGAACGGCACCCGTACCCAGCCTCAGCCGGGTGGCCAATTTAGGCGAGGCCGGAGGCTCTGCACCCGTGCTAGGCCTCGACACCCACCACGCGACTCTGAGGTAAATTCATCAAAGTTTCACGTCCTCTACAGAGTTGTGAGGGAGGGAGAGTGGTGAGGGAGGGAGAGTGGTGAGGGAGGGAGAGTGGTGAGGGAGGGAGAGTGGTGAGGGAGGGAGAGTGGTGAGGGAGGGAGAGTGCTGAGGGAGGGAGAGTGGTGAGGGAGGGAGAGTGGTGAGGGAGGGAGAGTGGTGAGGGAGGGAGAGTGGTGAGGGAAGGAGAGTGGTGAGGGAGGGAGAGTGGTGAGGGAGGGAGAGTGGTGAGGGAGGGAGAGTGGTGAGGGAGGGAGAGTGGTGAGGGAGGGAGAGTGGTGAGGGGGGGACTCAGCCTCAAAACGAGTAACTGGTGTGGCGTATTAACATCGCCACTGGGGAGACAAAGGCGGCCGGGCGTGGTGGATACAAGTCCCGGGCGAAGTCGGGTAGTATAGCTAGTAGTATTTAAGGCAGGTCCCTGAGAGCGCGAGTCAGTCCGTCTCAAGCCGGAGTCAGAAGCTACCTGGATAAGAAGACCCTGGACCTCAAGCCACCGACGTACTTCTAAGGGCTGGGGCTTAGTGCGCTGCCAGTGTTCAAGAGGTTAGGATCCTGAGGTTCCCTCGGCCTGATTTCCTTCTAAGGGCCAGGTCCGGACGGGCCAGTGGTCAGGTACCTACCGGGCCAGTGGTGGGTCAGCCTCCCCTAGGTCTAGCCAGCCGGAGGGCTAGAGTGGACAGAGTTGTAGATACGATAGCCCGGAGGCTGTACCTCCCCAGGTTGTGGGTGGAAGGGGCCATTATTTATTTGTGTTAGGGTTTAAGTGTAAACTGT